GCATTGTGTTGATGCTGCTGCTTCGAACCTTCGTGTTCTCACGACCACAGTACTTGAAAGCATAGTGAACTTACTGCTTACTTTCGCCGTTTTCCGTCCACCGTTTCTTTACTACTACTTGAGCTTCATGGTGTTTCTGCCCGAGCAGTGTATTTCGACGCTACTGCTGCGGATTATTACTCTGGCTGCGGGAAGGATGCTGCCCGTGAGGACAATGCTACTTAACCACTACCACTGCTTAATGGCGAATACTCCCATGTATGATTACTTTGACTCTGTCACTCCAGATTTGTAGTCCGTTCACCGAGAAAAATGCGTGAGGACGAAATAAATGGTCCTGTATAAGCATGGCGATTAGCTTCCAGCTATGACTAAATTAAATCGGTTTGGTTACCTCATATAAGGGCCTTTTCTGACTGGAATGCATCTAGGTGTCTGTCAGATTCACCCATCCCGATGGGAGCTACAAGACAAATTATAATTAGAAAATTTTCTCCCAGCAAAATTATTCATATATCTAATTCGAAAATGTTTGTAGGACTCGTTGTGGAATTGTTCTCCAATTCGGCGGGGTAAGGGATGGTTTAGAACTGTGCTGAAAACAACACTCAATTAGTCAGGTTTCCATTAAGTGTGCTGGTGACATTACCTCTCCAGGCTTTGATACTGGGGGCGGAGATCATTATCACTTCTCCGATGAGCGGCAGGACAAAATTGGGTGTCCTGGCAGCTAGCTCTTTTGGTTTCTTCGGTATTCATAGAACCGTGGAGGATATCTTCGAAATAGCCGTTCTTATTTTTGAGTTCCGAGGGGATAAAAAGCTGCTGTTCGGTATTGTGCTGTCGCTCCTGACATTTCACAGTCGGCGGGGGGTTTGTTGGGAGTATGTACCAAGAAACTTTTTTCAGGTTATTCTATCAATGATTTAAACCAGCGGCATCACGTTGTGTGGCAAGTACTACCAAGGCGAAAATAGTTTCTGCGCCACCGCTGCCGATGACATGACCGGTTTACAGGTCTACTTGAAACATGCTTTTGCATGAAATAGTCCCTTCAACCACAATATTTGCCCACTTCCAGATAGTATACATAAAATAAAGTCCCCGGAAGAAATAAACAAAATGAGTTGCTGAGTGAAATACGGCCTCAAAGGTTTTATTGGAGATATAATAGTCAACAAACAAGTAACGATTACAAGAAGCAATTTAATATAGCTGTTTTTTTAGGAGTCAAATTTAAACAATTTTTAACTCCAGGAGCATACCCGAGCAAAAAGGAAAGCAATAGTAATATATTTATGAAATTATGAGTTTATTTTTCCAGTGTACTCCGAGTTTTATTAGCAGTAGTGTATACCCGTCCTTTGCATATTTTGTTTAAAATTTAACAAACAAAATTTAAACATCATTTAAGAACAAAATACTTGGATACTTTTTCCTTATTTGCGTGGAATGGTCTTTGTATTGCAAAAACACTTCAGCCTATTGCTCTTTATATAATACTAATACACTGAAGTTTTTTTTTACACGGTTTTTTTTACACGGTTTTCCACGATTTACACGGTACGTTTTTAACGATTTCTCGACAACGATACAACCTATCGACTTGATTCCAATCACATTATCCGTTTCAAGCTATTTGTAATCGAATGGCGTACTTAAAAAAAATCACAATTTTTGGTGTAAATACAGAAATTTTTAAAATATGTCTATATGGACCATATCATGATTTAATAACGAATGGCATCAAAATCCGATTTTTTAAAAACATTTAAGCTTGCGAAAAATCAAAATCTCGTAGGTTTTTTTTACAAGGATTTTTTTTTACACGGACCGTATCCCCCGTATAAAAAAAGACCTGAGTGTACACTGAAACCTCCGTTTACGAAGTCTTTTTTTACGCAGTATTCAATTTACGTCCCTCTTTTTACGAAGTAAATCCCAAATAACGAGTTTTCTTTTTACGAAGTAAATTCCAAATAACGATTTTTTTTTGTGATTTTGGGAAACTGGGATATACTGTGAAATACCTCACAATATGGGTATTGTTGGAATCGGAGTGACGTGTAGGGACCGGAAATCGATGTCTGACGCCATTTTTAAATCCAAGATGGCGGCTTCCGGTTACAGGAAAACTTGGACATTCTGCCAAATACCCCACAATATGGGTATTTTTGGAATCAGAGTGATGTGAAGGGACCGGAAATCAATGTCTGACGCCATTTTGAAATCCAAGATGGCGACTTCCGGTTACAGAAAAACTTGGAAATTCTGCCAAATACCCCACAATATGGGTATTTTTAGAATCGGAGTGACTTGTAGGGACCAGAAATCAATGTCTGACACCATTTTGAAATCCAAGATGGTGACTTCCGGTTACAGAAAAACATGGAATTTCTGCCAAATATGCCCACAATATGGGTATTTTTGGAATCGGAGTGATGTGTAGGGACCAAAAATCAATGTCTGACGCCATTTTGAAATCCTAGATGCAACTTCCGGTTACATAAAAACATGGAAGTTCTGCCAAATACCCCACAATATGGGTATTTTTGAAATCGGAGTGACGTTTAGGGACCGGGAACCGATGTCTGACGCCATTTTGAAATCCAATATGGCGGCTTCCGGTAACAGAAAAGCTTAGAAATTCTGTCATACACCCCACAATATGGGTATTTTTGGAAATGGAGTGACGTCTAAGAACCGGAAATCGATGTCTGAAGTCATTTAGAAATCCAAGATGGTGGCTTCCGGTTACAGAAAAATTGGCAAATACCACCACGTCACCCCGATTCTTAAGATACCCATATTGTAGGTTATGTAATATTACTTTTATGTTTTTATGTAACCGGAAATTGCGATATTGAATTTCAAAATGGCGTCAGACATAGGTTTTCAGTCCTAATAGGTCACTCCGATTCCAAACAACCCATATTGTTGAGAATTTGACAGTATTTCCCAGTGTTTCTGTAACCGGATGTCACCATCTTGGATTTCTAAAAGGCGTCAGACATGGATTCTCGGTTCTCACAGGTCACCCCAATTCCAAATATATCCATATTGTTGTGTATTTTACGGTATTTTTCTGTTTTCCTGTAACCGGAAGCCGCCATGCTGGATTTCAAAATGGCGTCAGACATCGATTTATGGTCCCTACACGTCACCCCGATTCCAAAAATACCCACATTGTGGGGTATTTGACAGAATTTTGAAGTTTTTCTGTTACCGGAAGCCACCATCTTGGATATAAAAATGGTGCCACACATTGATTTCCGGTCCTTCCACGTCACTCCGATTCCAAAAATACGCATATTGTGGGGTATTTGAAAGAATTTACAATATTTTCTGTTTCCGGAAGCCGCCATCTTGGATTTAAAAATGTTGTCAGACATCAATTTCCGGTCCCTACACGTCACTCCGATTCCAAAAATACCCATATTGTGGGGTATTTGACAGAATTTCCATGTTTTCCTGTAACCGGAAGCCGCCATCTTGGATTTTAAAATGTTGTCTGACATCAATTTCCGGTACCTACACGTCACTCCGATTCCAAAAATACCCATATTGTGGGGTATTTGACAGAATTTCCATGTTTTCCTGTAACCGGAAGCCGCCATCTTGGATTTCAAAATGGCGTCAGACATCGATTTCCGGTCCATACACGTCACCCTGATTCCAAAAATACCCATATTGTGGGGTATTTGACAATATTTTCAAAACCCTCTTTTTACGAAGTAAATCTCAAATAACGAGTTTTCTTTTTACGAAGTAAATCCCAAATAACGAGGTTTTTTTTACGAACTAATTCGATTTACGAACCCCCGTTTTGGTTCGTAAATTGAGGTTCCAGTGTACCAATATTTTTTATAATGCAGGTATAAAATAAACTCATCAAAACTTAATGGTACTTAAGAAGGACTTGTTGCCAAGGCATTTTTCTATTCAAAACCATTGATGAAACATAATGTGAAGTTTTTGGTAGCGAGCCCATACAGCACCGCATTTTCGCCCGTTCAGGCGAAATTATCTAGTTATACTGGCAACCTTATGTCTTCGGTTACTTGTATTCGGGTTTTTCGTCATGATCATCATTTCCTCCCATCATCATTTGTTTAGATCAGTCAGTCTTTAGTAGTAGCTCAAAGTGAATAAACCTAAAATTTAAACTTAATATTTCTGGTGAAATAAAAAGTGTGGAAGAACTCTTCTTGTTCTAAGTTTGGTGCAATCCAAAACCTGCAAGTGTGTGTATTGCTCTGGTCGTCTTGTCAGTGACATTCGGAGTACTGGCATCTCTGCTATTGTGAAGTGCATCGTATGCACTTTCTTCCCTGTGCGCACACTGGGGCCGTGCTGTGGCCACAATTCGTAAAGTTGAGACACAACGTAGGAGTAAGTTTGAACATTTTTTGGTGCCGTGACCAGGATAAACGGCCGGTGGACACTACGGGACCGCCATTATTCCAGTCCGGAACAATAGAAGACCGGCTGAACGCGCCATTGCTGGTCGAAGGTTCGAGTTTTTCTGATTTGTATTTGATACAAGGCTCGCTCAATCGGATTCCAGGTAATTACCTGTCCGATTCTTCCCACGTATCTCTCAGGTACGCTTTAGATCTTCGTTTCTTTCCGTTCAAGCACCTGTCTCGAAGGTTCGAGAACTCGATTGCCACCATCCTTGATTGGGGCACACCACGTTGGCCATCCGGCGCCATCTTCGAGCTGTTTCATTGTGTGGATCACAATACAGGTCCGCTACTGTTCTTCGGCGGACAATTGAGGCTTTCTTCTGGAGCATTCTTCAGCCAAGCCGCGCATTTTCTACATCGCTACGCACGTGCATCAAGCATACAGTTGCGTATTCAGCGCATTGATTTTCATCTCGGTGGCTGTTTCGTCGAATACCTGAAGATTTTGATTAAATCAAGGCACGCTAAGCCTTGGACTAGTGCTCGTCATTCTTGGCTACATCCCGTTGGAGTTGGATTCGTCGCTGCACTATGGAAGAACCCAGGAGCAACAACCAAGCGCTGCTTTCACGGAGGGAGAGTCTTCTCGCTGCTCTGGGTCGGGCTGAGGCATTTCTTGAGGCCTACGATGCTGCGAGGGACGCAAGACAGGTTCAGATTCGGCTGGACCACATAGAAAACGTTTGGGCTAGGTTGGAGGACGTGCAGACGGAGTTGGAGTCCATCGAGCAGGACGAACAAGGTAAGCGAATGCATGAGGAGGTACGTACTGCCTTTGAAGAGAGGCTGTTCGCAATAAAAGCCGATCTAACATCTAAACTTCCTGTTCTTTCTAATGACGCTCGAATCCTTCAACCTATTGGCCATAATTCCGCTCTCTCTGGGTTAAAGCTGCCCACAATTTCACTCCCCGAGTTCGATGGGGACTATATGCAGTGGTTGGGTTTCCATGACACGTTCTTGGCTTTAATTCACGCAAATCCCGACGTGCCAGAAATTCAGAAGTTTCATTACTTGAAAGCCGCAGTGAAAGGGGAAGCTGCACAGCTAATTGAAACGATCGCAATCAGTGCAGCGAACTACAACTTGGCTTGGGATACTTTGGTAAAGCGCTATGCGAACGATTATCTTTTGAAGAAGCGACATTTGCAGGCACTCTTCGATATTCAACGCATGAAGAAGGAGACATCATCGACGCTGCACGCCTTGGTGGACGAGTTCGAACGCCACACGAAGACCTTGAGGCAGATGGGGGAACCTACCGGTCAATGGAGCAGCATTCTTGAGCATCTGCTCTGTACTCGGCTACATGACGACACTCTCAAGGCGTGGGAGGTGCACGCATCGACCGTGGAGAATCCGGACTATCCGTGCCTCATCGACTTTTTGCAGCGACGAGTACGTGTGCTGGAATCTATTTCAGTCAACCACCATGCGCCTCCATCCGTTCCAAGTTCCTCGCATCATGGGGCAAAACGACAGCAGCAGTTTCGGCTTACTTCGTGTGCTTCTACTACCAAAGTGGGGGTTAAATGTCCAGTGTGCTCGCAAGAGCATTACATCAGCAGGTGCCAAAAGTTCCTTGGTCTCTCGGTGGCACAACGTCAGCAACTTTCTATGAAGAAGCGACTCTGCCACAACTGTTTGAAAGGAGAACACATAGCGAAAAATTGTTCGTCCGACTTCAACTGCAAACATTGCAATCGACGCCACCACTCTCTTTTGCATGCCGGTACTGGCGATGGAACCCAGGGAGCCACTTCTGACGCACCCGTCCCGAGTACATCTGCTGTGGTACAGGCTCACCAAAATCGTCCAACTTCTTCGATGGGAAATCCTATTCAATCTGCGGTCGCAGCCATCGAAAATGTTCCAGATTGTGAAGTCAGCGTTCCGATTCAACATCCCAAGGAGAACGTCTTTCTTCTGACAGCTCTGGTGAGAGTCGTTGATGCCTTTGGTCAGGGTCATCGCGTTCGTGCACTTTTGGACAGCGGATCGCAGCCTGACATCGTCAGTGAGCGTATGGCCCGTCAACTACGACTGAAGAAAACAAATGTGGATGTGACTATACAGGGAGCCGGCCAGCTTGAGCAGTCGGTACGTGAGTCCATCGTGGCGCAAGTCAAGTCAAGGAATGGAAACTTCGAAGCCGAAATCAAGTTCTTAGTCATGAACAAGGTAACAGCAAATCTTCCGGCGCACGACATCTCCACTGATGATTGGCAGATTCCCGAAGAGTTAGCCCTTGCTGATCCTGGATTCAACAAGAGCCAGCGCATCGATATGGTTCTCGGGGCAAAACATTTTCAATCCTTCTTCCCCAGCGCCGTTCGCATTCATCTTGGTGAACATCGTCCGCTACTTGTGAAAAGCGTCTTCGGATGGGTGGTAACCGGTTCTGCACTAACACAGCCCAATCAATCGCCCACTCCATATTCTCTCTCGTACAGTATCCTGAACGTTTCAACGGTAACGTTAGAGGAGAGTATCGAACGTTTTTGGAAAACGGAGGACCTGTCAATGAAGGACAATTATTCGGTTGAGGAGCGCTACTGTGAATCTCTCTTCAAGTCCACGACGACCCGCACCGCTGAGGGTCGTTACATGGTTCGACTGCCACGAAAACCTGAATTCGAAGCCATGATGGGAGAGTCCCAGATCAACGCCTATCGCCGATACGAAATGCTGGAGCGGAGATTTGAGAGGAGCCCAACACTCAAGGAGGATTACCACAAATTCTTGAAGGAGTACCTGTCCCTCGGCCATATGCGGTTGGTCGAGTCCGACAACGAAGGCAATTCTACAGCATACTATTTGCCACACCATCCCGTGCTGAAGGAGTCGAGCACAACAACGAAGCTCCGAGTAGTGTTCGACGGCTCGGCTAAAACCTCGACTGGCCACTCGCTCAATGAGGCGCTCTGTGTAGGTCCTGTAGTACAGGATGACCTCATAACGATTCTTTTAAGGTTTCGCACCTTTTTGGTTGCACTTGTCGCGGACATAGCAAAAATGTACAGACAAGCTCTGGTACACCCTGACGACACCCATCTGCAACGCATCCTGTGGCGAGTTTCTGCCAGCACAGTTATCCATGTTTTCGAGCTGCTTACCGTTACTTACGGTCTTGCTCCTTCGTCGTTCTTGGCAACCCGTGTGCTTCAGCAGCTAGCTATAGATGAAGGCGATGCATTTCCTCTCGCCGGACCAGCGTTGCGAAAAAGCTTCTACGTAGATGATTTCATCGGTGGTGCCAATTCCATAGAAGAAGCGATCAGTCTCCGTGAGCAATTAGAAGATTTGATGCAACGGGGTGGATTCGACTTGCGTAAGTGGACGTCCAGTCGTTTCGAAGTTCTGCAGGGATTGGACAAAGAGCACATCGGCACCCAGTCAACGCTTTGCTTTACCCCCAACGAGTCCATTAAGGCACTAGGAATCGTCTGGGAGCCCGAAAATGATGCCTTTCGATTTGATTCAGCGATCCAGCCACGTGACGCTCCACCTACGAAGAGATCGATACTATCGGATATCGCCAAGCTGTTTGACCCTCTAGGACTGATAGCTCCTGTAGTCGTACGCGCAAAAATCCTTATGCAGGAGTTGTGGTTGCTTTCTTCGGATTGGGACGAACCAGTTCCCGATTCCATTCGCATCAGATGGGAGAGTATTTGCAATGAGTACCCCCTCATCTCATCCTTCCGAGCTGAACGCTACGCTTTTCTTCCAAACTCCCGAGTTGAGCTTCACACCTTCGCGGATGCATCGGAATCGGCGTACGGAGCATGTACTTACGCTCGCTGCGAAAATGACCAGGGAGAAGTGTCTGTCCAACTGCTCATGTCGAAATCCAGAGTATCACCTCTCAAGCGTCTAACCATCCCTCGCCTGGAGTTGTGCGCCTCTGTCCTTGCAGCGCACTTGTATCACCGTATCAGACAAGCCATCGACATACCCATTTCTGCAGCGTTCTTCTGGTCCGATTCTGCTGTCACGCTGCAGTGGCTTCGCTCTCCACCCAACGTTTGGAAAACTTCGCTCTCCACCCAACGTTTGGAAAGCATTTCACGCATGGATGCCAGTGGAACCATATTTCCGGGGTGGAGAACCCTGCTGACCTAGTGTCCCGAGGTCTTTCCGTTGGAGAATTTCTGCGCAGCGATTTGTGGAAGCGTGGGCCGTCATGGTTATCCGAACAGTCGAGGTCCTGGCCAATATCAAGACCACCTAACGTTCCTGAAGAAGCACTTGAGGCAAAGCAAGTCGGCGCAATCGTTCATACAACCCCAGAGCCCAATCCGTTATTCGTCCGCTGGAGTACCTACCGTCGCTTGCTGCACGTGACTGCCTACTGTTTGCGCTTCATCAACAATGCCCGTATCAAAGCCAGAACCACAGAACAGATAGGTAACATGGGAATCAGAAACGGAGCCATTTAAATTTCAATTGGTAGTGACACCTAGCGGTGGAGAGAACGCTTTTTACACTCAAAATTTATTTACACTTATACCACCTTCTACCATTTATACCAAACATACCCAAGATTCATATATTGAAAGGTGTGTACACTTCTATTGGTGCTTATGTACAGAGTGTCTTTAGGAAAGATGAGAAAATCTTATTTATTTTTTAGATTATATGCTTGTTTTGAATTCTTCTTCTTTTTCTTCTTCTTCTTCGAATTTAAACTTATTGCTTATTGCATATAAGCTTATTGCATGCTCTGAGCTTATGTCGTTTTCGTTTTTTGCGGTGCAGCACTGGTGTAGTGTAAGCAGGAATAAGCACGAGTCTTTGACAGCTCAGATCACTTCCTACCCACAGATTTCATCAATGCTTCCTGCAAAGGCAAAGGTTAAGTAAAATGCTAATTGTGGAGTGAGACGATCACATAAAAGAAAAACTGTATTTATGATTGTTTTGCTAATTCTAGTACGATTATCATAATTCCGTACACTTTGATATTTAAAAACACAATTAGAATAAGACATATCCAAAGTTTAACGATAGGAAATATTATCATCAGCGGGTATTTATTTGCATCATGTTCCAATGTATTGTTCTGCAAACAATTAACACTCTAAGACTTCATTTACCCCCGTTGCGATAAAAGGGAAAGAAGTGCCGAAGCTGACATTTCCCCTAATAAGAAAATATCCAATCTTTCATTCATCCTGAATTCTCAAAACTATATTCTATACACATGCAGATCGCTCTACCTATAGGATTAGAAAATATCTTGGGTTGTGAGAGGATATGTCGAAGTAATGGCAGGGAAACTCTCTTTACTCCAATGGCATTTCTCATGGCCGTGTGCGTTTGTGTTAAAAAGCAAAACATCTTCCGTCTTTCACTTTTTATGCGTAAAAACCGTCGTCCAGAAAAAGTGAAATCATAATGCATTTCGTCGTAGAAAAAAATCGTTCCATTCACGACGGATGACCCCATTGTTTACGATTTATGAGAGGGAAAGCGAATACGAGCTTATCAGTCATGTAGCATATAGTAACATGCCGTCTCTTTTGTTCTTTCAGTCCTCCTGGTAGCAGTTAGTGGGACACTACACTCTATATAGGCAACTCAGTGGCGCCTTGTTGCTAGTTTTCCCAGACTTTTCGATTCGTTGCGTGTGTAATAATATTTTTTGCATTCCTTTGCTTAACGCCTTTGATGTTTTGATCGAATAATTCAATGAAATAATTAAATAAATGTTGTCATGTTTCTTTTACATGTAACATTTGAATGCTCATCAGTACATAGTGGCTTTAGCATTTTTGAATCCAAGGTTAGTTGTGTAATAGGATTTAATATTTTTCTTTCAATCTGGCATTGCTGGTACTAGTATAATGGACAACAAGAATCGTACAGTACTATCCTAATATTTTGATCGTGTGAATCAAATGAAAACTTTACCGTTTTATTAAAGTACGTTAAATTATTTTTTTACTGAAGATTGCTAGTATTGAAAAGCCAAACGCAACGGATTATAATTATATTATGCATGGACTGGACAGCTTATTTGACACATGATCGTTATTAGCATATTTGTATAGCTTTAGCTTATTAGTGGACATAAAACATTTGTTTCATGCGAAATTAATGGAACGCACCCTAATTACACGCAACAGAACAACGGCTCTCTAAACAAATCTTTACACTTTTAACATTGAAATCAGTGGTTATGTAAGGAAATTGGTTTAGTTTTGTTGCTATTGATTCGTGGAGCTTTGCTTATTTCTTAGACAAATATTGCATTTTTTTAATGTGCGATGAAACTTTCAGAAATTTTGGTTGCAAAATAAGAAAGTTATTTAATTTTTTGAGTTTGTGGTTGAAGCAAAATAAACCGTTTAGAATTGTCTCCGAAAAAAGTGCACACACAATAACAGTTGTAACTTTTTAATCATCGTTTTCAGAGAAGATTATTGTGTACATAGTGCAATTTTTTGACGATCTAGAAGGTTTTATACCAAATTACAATGGAGTGAACACACTTCTATCAGAAAAAAAATGTGCACACTATTCCAGGCCTCCGCTGTTCGGTAAATTTTTGAACTACGGTTTGTTTAGTAAAAGTTTAAAAATCAGTGAAAAATTCAAAAAAATAATAAATTTATACGGAACATATACATATATACAGACTTCGTTTAGTTTACCCCATTTAATAATGAAAAATAAAAATAAAACTTGTAAATTTGACTGATTACTCAACTGTAACGGAAATTTGAAGAAGATACCGAATTAATAAAACATAGTAAAATGTACTATTTTGCACTTGTAATGGGAATGTGTTATGGTCAAAATCTAGGGGTGAAAATTATCTCAGAAATTCATAAAAATATAATTTGAAAAATATTTTCCATGAAAATTGAGAAAAGTTGCAAAGAAAAACCGAAAGAACCATTTTCTAAGTAATCAATTTTTTTCAATATTTTTTCGAAGGATAAGTGTGACAGTTTTTAACCCTAGTTGTCATCTAATTGGCCCTATTTTGAATTTCGGTTTTTTCATTCATTATATTATTTATTTCGCTACAATGTTAGAGCACAAAACTGGAGCATTAGTTTTAAAACTGACACACTTACCCTACTTGAAGATTTCTTATCTTTCACTGGTGAAAACTTTAGGATGGATTCTCTTATTTTTTTGTGTTAAGATCAAAAATCTAACTAATTGAAAATTTGAATATAAAACATTATTTTTACAATGCCACCCTCAAGGCAAAATTGCAAAGCAAGTGACGAATGTAAAAATCCGTAAACTTGTGGGCAAAGTTTCTAAAAAAAAAATCTGAGACTCCTCTTTGGCACAAACCTGCAGACAGATCTTTTGAACCATATCATTTTGTCCGCGCACGGACTTTAAACTTTTACGTTGCGTTTTCGTTGTTGTGTAGTTGAATTGAACAAATAATACACCAATTGTTTGACCATACCTTGACCGAACCTTATTATTATTATCATACAAAGTCTGAACAGTAAGTAGCATAGTTGTACATACATACATAGTTGTTACACAAACACATTTGCAATCACCTTAATTAAAAACGAGACATTTCACCAACATCCCATCAAATATGTTTTTAATTGGTTCAAACAAATTGTGATACTAATAGTAATTTTATGCAAAGCAATGTAATACCCTATTCACGTATTCCAACAAAACCGCTAGAATTGTGTCAATAATGATTATTTTTGCCAAGCATTGAAAAAAAAGAAAATTTAATTTTTGCATGTTCAAACAATTAGGAGCGTACTGTAAGCAAAATATTTTAACGGTAATTATACCAATTTATACAAGATTTGAAATCATCATGTGCACTGCGAAATGAAAATAGAAAGGAATAGCAAAAATTACATGAAAAGCATGAGCTCAGTTTCAGATGAAACCGTTTGCTCTGAGTTACCTATCTGTTCTGTGCCAGAACTCAACATATTCCCACCACTGAGCCAAGCCAAGAAGCAAACACCGTCGAGCATTTAGCACGAACCAAATCGTTGCTAATCCGCCTTGCCCAGAGAGATGCGTTTCGGGATGAAATCAAAGCCATTAAAGACAGGAATGTTTTACCCAAACGATCATGCATTCGCCGAATGAATCCTTTCATTGATCCTGAAGGGATATTGAGAGTTGGAGGCCGATTAAACCTTTCGCAATTGCCCTATCAGACAAAACACCCTGCCCTCCTCCCAGCCAACCACCCATTTTCCAGCCTAATAGCCAAGTACTATCACCTTAACCTTCTTCACGGCGGCGGGCGCCTTCTACTAACAGCCATACGTGAGGAATTTTGACCAATACGTGGCCGCCAATTAGTACGCTCTACAGTCCGCAACTGCTTTCGCTGCGTGCGCCTTAATCCCGTTCCAGCACAGCAGCAAATTGGCCAGCTACCTACCTCGAGAATCACGCCAGGTCGCCCGTTCTCCGTCACTGGCGTAGATTACGCTGGACCTCTATACTTACGACCAATCCACAAGCGAGCCGCACCTGTAAAAACTTACCTGTGCCTCTTCGTATGCTTCGTAACAAAAGCAGTCCACTTGGAATTGGTTTGCGATTTATCAACCCAAGCCTTCATCGCTGCCTTGCGACGGTTTATTGCCCGACGTGGACGACCAAGCCACATACATTCGGACAATGGAAAGAACTTCGAAGGCGCAAAGGGAGAACTCACCGAAATGTTCGAAATTTTTCGGAAACGTAACGAGAGAGAAACAATAGTATCCACCTGCGCCGAGGAGGGAATAGTGTGGCATTTCACTCCGCCAAAAGCCCCCCACTTTGGAGGCTTGTGGGAGGCGGCCGTCAAGGTAGCCAAGAGGCATTTATTCCGTCAACTAGGTGCGTCGCGGTTGAGCTACGAGGATATGGCCACTGTCCTCTGCCAAATCGAAGCCGTGATGAATTCAAGGCCACTTCTGCCGATGTCGGATGATCCCAATGATTTGGCTGCACTCACTCCGGCTCATTTCCTAATCGGCACCTCCATGCACGCCTTGCCCGACCCAGACCTGCTGCACATCACGGAGAGTCGACTGGAGCACTACCACAAGCTGCAACTGCACGTACAGCAATTCTGGATCCACTGGCGTAAGGAATACCTGCAGGAACTCCAAAAGGACACGAAATCGGCGGAACGCAACAACTCTATCCAACCGGGACGAATGGTCGTCATCGTCAATGAGCAGCAAGCACCAATTCGCTGGCCGCTAGCCAGAATAGTCGATCTGCGCCCTGGAACGGATCAAATAACTCGTGTGGTCACGCTTCGCACTGCAAGAGGAATAATTACCCGTCCAATAACGAAAATCTGCTTGCTTCCTGACGTTTCCGCGGAATCCGGCGATGGACATCGACTTCCCGAGGAGATCGACCCGTGAATCATCTGCTGAAAATAGATTAAGAAGATTAAATTAGATTAATTAAGCTAGAATTTCTCTTGAATTGAATTTACATACCTGTTAGTTGTCATCTCTAAGATTGTTTGTAAAATATTGAATTGCTTCAAGGCGGCGGGTATGATGAAACATAATGTGAAGTTTTTGGTAGCGAGCCCATACAGCACCGCATTTTCGCCCGTTCAGGCGAAATTATCTAGTTATACTGGCAACCTTATGTCTTCGGTTACTTGTATTCGGGTTTTTCGTCATGATCATCATTTCCTCCCATCATCATTTGTTTAGATCAGTCAGTCTTTAGTAGTAGCTCAAAGTGAATAAACCTAAAATTTAAACTTAATATTTCTGGTGAAATAAAAAGTGTGGAAGAACTCTTCTTGTTCTAAGTTTGGTGCAATCCAAAACCTGCAAGTGTGTGTATTGCTCTGGTCGTCTTGTCAGTGACATTCGGAGTACTGGCATCTCTGCTATTGTGAAGTGCATCGTATGCACTTTCTTCCCTGTGCGCACACTGGGGCCGTGCTGTGGCCACAATTCGTAAAGTTGAGACACAACGTAGGAGTAAGTTTGAACAACCATCTATTGAAGAAGCCATTGAACAACTAATGTATCTAAAATCACCATTTAACTACACTCCACATAGTTGCAGAGTAAAATCACTTACTTTGATCAAATTTACACAGCAATAAATTTATCAGATTTTCCGGATCTTCCAGCGGGTTATGTCGTGACCACTCGGAACAATTGAACCGCTAATATAACAAAAATCACCATTTTACTGTATTCCATATAATTGCGGAGGAAAATCAAGGCCTACTTTGATCAAATTTACACAGCAATCAATTTTACGGATGTTCCGTATCTACCAGCGGACCATCTGGTGATAACTCGGAGCCATTGAACAGCTAACACATCAAAAATCACCATTTTACAACATTTCTCATTGTTGCAGAGAAAAATCGAATTTATGTAGCACTAAATTTTACGGATGTTTCGGATCTTCCGGCGGATCATCTGGTGACCACTTGGAGCCATTGAAACGCTTATATATCTAAAATCATTAATTTACTACATTTCATATAGTTGCAGAGAATAATCAAGGCCTACTTTGATCAAAAATACATAATAATCCAGAAGGTTGATCCAGGTCATCGGAAGGCCTTCCGGTGGACGCACAGTATTTAGAACCAGGTTATGGGTTGATTTTGTTAAAATATTAATCAGCACTACCCATAGATGCCTGTTGCTGTGGATTTTCAGCACCACCTTCTTGTAGACGACTGGTACCTTTTCTCCCCCCGGTGACCTCTCGGAAACCCGGAATAAAACCGGAACCACTTGGCCAATCTGTTCCAATTTTTAGTAGACCAAAATTTCGAACATTTTTCTACTCACTGTGAAAATTTCAACCAATTTCATGGTTAAACAAAAAAGTTATACCTATGCAAACATTGCTATTCGTATATTTGTTCGTAAAAATAAAAACTGAACAAGCGCGTTAGGCCCTCCCCAGAAGTGAAGCAGGTGGTGTTCGTTTGAAACGCTAATAACTTTTCGGAGGTAGCTCGGATTCACATCGGGTCTTCAGCCAAGATTTTCCCAATATTTTAAAGGTGCTACATTGTGTACACGAAGAAAATCGACCCACTACAGCGCCACTTTGAGCCGCGAATGTGAAAGTGGCTCGCTCCCCCATACATTTTGTCGATTTTCCCCATACAAACTTCAAGCCCTTTGAGCGAGGGGTTCCCGTGAACCAAATGACTTCAAATTTTGGCAGGGTGTTTCTGACCCCCAAAACTACCATTCCAGAGGGTAGCGTTTGAAATTCCAAACTTTGACTTTTTTCCATATAACGCTGAAACACTCTAATGTACATAAGTAATATTTTGTTGAGAAAATCTATAATTTTTATTAAAATCTAGAAAAAAACCGTGTCATATAAGGAACCAATGACCATTTATAAACCTGCTGAAGGAATATCATCGATAAGTTATGACAGAAATTTTATAACAGTTTTGACATTTTGGGCTAGTCTAACATTTTTCGAATATTTGCTCTAGAGAATAGTATTTTATTAGACTTTAATGAAATGGATTCGTTACGCTGCGCATTGACTCCACAGAACTTGAATCAAAATTAAATTTCCATGCACCTACTCGGCAACTCCGAAATTGAAATTTATTTGCCTTAAAACATCATCGCACAAATTATGCAAAATATGGGCCATTAAACCACATGATGGCCTCTTACAATCAATACTGCGAAACCATCGACTTTACAATGTCTCGGCATAAACTAAAACAATATTTTTAATCCATAAGGCATTATAACTCATAAAAAATAGGAAAGCTGATACTGCTTGATTTTTATTAAAGAAAAAAATATACTTTTAACCTTTTGTCCAAAGTTGACGAAATAAATAAATAAATTTAAGAAAATAAAACTTTATTCTAATATGTACTGGTCTACGTTGGTTGACAAAATAAATAAATAAATAAAAAAATAAAAAAAATAAATAAATAAATAAATACATAGATAAATAGATAGTTGAAGTAGGCTTCAAGCATAAAGCCTGCAACAGATTTTTTGTAAAATATGTTCAAAAAGTTGATTTTTAAGTGGGTGGCCATATTGCCCCACTTTCCCCTAAAATGCATTTGCTGAAAAACAGAAACCAGAAACCATTCTCATGGAATGAATTGCTATGAATGTGATGTGAATGTGATTTCTGATCGAGAACACGACTTATTTACCGTGAATATTGCTTATCTTAAGAACCGGTTCAAAATGATTTCAAACGATTTATTATTTATCGTCTATTAATACTTGTTGTAATTGTGATAGGGTCTTCAGATGTTATGCTTCAGGTTGCGGTTAATTATGTTCATGAATCGTCTATTGCTCACAACTCCTTATCACGGTAGAATTACAATGAACATTCATCATATTTTAAGTTGAAGATGATTTAACGAACGTCACCCGTCACTCGTCAGTCAGGCAAATCCAGTCCCGTTTGGCTCTTTGCTTATGAAACAACGAACGGCTGCCGTCACTCAATCTGATCGCACGGAACGATTTAATTCTTTTGCAGAAATGACAAATAAAAGCTACACTCTACATTCAACCGGGAACTGTAATTTTTAATTACAGATTTTCAGAAAAAGTATACAGAATTTGTAATGTTTCACTGCAGTGGTTGGCGGTTGGTTAATTAATTTTGCAATTTTTATGATCGATAAATCTCCGAACAAAGTTTGTTTTCCCAAATGCACTGCGGCTAGAAAATCATCTCGTTTAATACGAAAATATTAATTCTGGGAAATACATCTTCTATAGGTACACTACAGTCGATTGTAACAATTGCCACTACATTTGTTGTAGAGCGGTGATTATTATAATATTGAATCATCTGACATTAATCTTCCATTACTATAAAAACTCCGCTATACAAAGCTTCCAGAGACCGATCCCGAGTAATTTTCATGGAGGAAATATTGAATTTGATTCACGGGAAGCGCGCATCAGAAGAAAGGAAGACTCATTATAATAAGAGTCAAATAAAACGTAATGAAGTTTTGCCGTCTCAATTTTCTCGCATTGACTCCGTCCGTTATTCATCGGAACGGAACGCAAGAAACAAACCCGATGGCAGTCGGAGTAGATGGATAGCCTATGGAGGTACAAATTGACGATAATAATTCCGGTTCGAAACACTTCGTAAAGGCATCCGTCGTTGAGGCACGCAGACAGTGGGACATTTCTTCGCAATCAGCTTGGGCTAGAAGAGTGAACCATACAGGATCATAGGACGAGCAGGTTGGAAGCTATCGAACGCTGTAGACTCATCAATAGCGTCGTTGATTGCGAATCCATTTTCGTTCGTCATGCTGCCATCCCACGGTTTGGCTATCAAATACACTAATATTGCTCCACTGACGATTAGAGGATTACGATCAGGGGAGAATCGGGCTCGTCCGCTAGCTGCGTGGGTTCGAAACATATATTCCGCGTGTTGAAGGAAACTAATGGGGGAGAAGAACCCTCCATTTATCCACGAAATGCACGATGATTCCATGTTAGTTATTTTAATTCCAACAGTAAGATTAGAACAATTGATCATGGCCCTCACCTAAGCACACCATCGACCGATCAAAAGAATGCGTTTTTATGTCATCTCACGTTGTCCCTTCAGAAATTGAGCTGCAAAACGTTTCCATTGAATAGCTCTGGAATGTTGAAGCAGGATTAAACAAAAAAAAAAACTCCAGCAGTTTTAGATATATCGAAACAGCAGTGCTCCCCCAGAAGACAGCAGACGATGGAGTGCTAAGCGATCAAAGCATCAAGCTCATGAATAAAAAGTCAATCCCATCCCGACTGGATGGCAGCAATTTCGAATCAGTCATCCAACTACTGCACTATGCACTTGTGTTTTGTCCATCTCGGGTAAATATCGCATTTGAACTGCGGGGACACATGCTCCTATGCTGGGATGACTCTGTTGGTTCGAATTGTCCTGGCTGTGAGTGTTTTCAAAGACAGTTACAATGTTTTGCTTTCGGATTGTTCTTCTGGAATGACAATTAGTCGACTCGCGTTGATGACGAGTAGATTATTGGAATGGAATGAATCAGACATGATTGGATTGACCACTGCTGGTGGACCGCAATGGATTTGAGGGGAACGGCTGACATATTTACTGATGAAATCCTTTCCCATTGTGTCAGTTTAGAGTAATTGTTCTTGATATGACTGGTTTTGAACAAAATTCAATATCTATCTCTTTTTCAAAAGGACGTGTCTGCTTTTGCAAACAAAGATTTGATTGTCAATTTGTCGAAACTCTAAGCACTCCCGCGCAAACTAACAATGCCTTCTTGTTGGGAAAATATTGCCCTTTCTGGTGGACGGGTTAGTTTGCGTGGGAGTGCTTAGAATTTCAGAAACTTTACGTTTGAATCTTTGTTGTCAAAAGCAAA